ATGATATTGTGTGTCACAAAGATGATTCTTTCTTTCTTTCAGTCGCCGTGAGAGAGTCACGATGCGATGTCTGGGGCAGCTGCAAACGAAGGCCAGCCGGCGTCCAGGGACGCTTAACACCCCCAAGGGCGGTCTGCACCGTTTGGTGCCTGCACCTCGCCTCGAAAGGCCCTCAAGCAGGTGCAGAGCTAAGCAGTTGAAGATAGCATAGGAAGTAAAGTAAAGTAGTAAAGTAAGAACCTAGAAGTAGAACTCTGTAGTTGCGCAGACCGCAACTAGAAAAAGTGGCATATTAAAAGCACCAGTCACTGGAGTCTTCGAAGCACAAACATGTATGAATTCCTGAGGGCTAACGAGGCCTCTGCTACTGTGATGGACTTGGCTGCACGGCCATCATCAGTGGTGTGGGTTAGGACTCCAGCGGAGAGCAGCGCTGCACGATAGTGCCCACTTCTGGTATGAGGGCCGACATGAAAGACAATGCTGACAACCTCATAGGGAATGAGGTGTACGCTGAAATCTACACCCGAAAAGGATGGGATGGAAACCTCATAGGGGGGAAGAATGCTATTACGTACTTTACGGCCCCTATCATCAAACCTGGCTATCTGTAAAACCAGAAGTGGAGTACTGCCGATCAGAGCATGGCGAGCTTCCTGCAGACGCCACCTGCGTCGATGCCACTGGTCAACCAGGCTTTGCAGGGTGCAAGGAGCTGCTGAGGGCAAAGCAGCTGACAGGAGCATAGGCAGAGTTTGGCCGCTGTCGGTCACCTGCGAGGGTAGGCCCGGAGAGTTAGGGGGTAGCCTAGTTTCCCACTCACCTATAAAATCGGGCTGAACCAGACAGTGGCCTGAGCGATGAAGAAATTCGGCCGCATCCTGTTGGGACTCTGAGCTCCACTGCGGCAGGACTTCTGTCCAACAACTCAAACGAGACAAGCACGAGCCGGGAGAACCGCGAAACACCATATGGAGTGAAGAGCGGATGCTGAGTGCCGGCGGCTCCAGTGGCGCAAAAGCCTGCTCACTGAACCACTTTAAAGCAAGCAGTACTGCATGTGCATAACAATGGTTGCCAGGGTTTAGGAAAACGGCCTGGAGAGCAGGGACCGGGTTCAGCCCAGTCGACGCGCAGACTCCTCTACGGACTGCTCCAGAGGGCTCCGTCCGAGGCGTGCCATCCTCATGGTGCCGCCGACCAAGTGCCACAGCGCGCTGTGGCTCATGCGCTCGAACTGCTGGTAGGTCAACTGAGCCTCCTGATTGCGATTGTGAAGTTCCAACGTAAAAGGAACCACCTCCACCTGCATCTCCTGTGTCAGGCGTCGGAGGGCATGGAAGCGGAGCAGAACTCGAGGGAACGGCAGGTGCCGGATGACAAGCTTCAGGCCCTCCAAAGCGGCTTCCACGGGGAGAGGCTCCTGGGTGGCCCTCTCGTGTGACTTGGTGGTTGGGTTCCAGCGCAGGTAAACCAGGCCGTTGGCTTCCACCAGGCCCAGATAGCGAAGCCTGTCCATGTGGGGAGGATTCGCGATGGCATCCTCTAGCCTTTCCACCAAGGTCGTGAGGAGGCAGTGCATCAGGGTGTTCCTGAGGGGAGCCTCCAAGGTGTCCGGGGCCTCCTGCTTCTTCTTGTTCCAAGCTTGCGCAACTCGGAAGAGCGGATCCACTACCGCCCACTCCGGTGTGCGGCTGCCATCCTCCAGCTTGGGCCTCATCGATGTCTTCAAGAAGAGCATGAATCCCAAGTCCAGCTTCATGTAGGATATGGAGTCCGACTGGCGAAGGACCAGTCGGGTGAGGTCCTGAACCAGGTGGCGTAGCTCCCGAATCTCGTTTTCGTTCCGGTAGTTCGGGTCCTTGCTCCACCAGCTGGGGGCCTGGCGTCGCTGGTTCTGTCGCTGCTCCTGTCCGCGACGGGCAGGCCAGTCGGAGCGGCGTGAGGGCTTGTCCTCCTCCTTGTCCGCAGTGTTCGCTGCCAACTCCTTGGGGCTGCTGGGGGCCTGTGAGGACCGCGGAGGCTGCGCTGGCCCGTGGTTGCCCTTCCCAGAGGCCTTCGGGTACTTCGGCTTCGTCTCCTGGTCGGCCTCCTGAGCTTCCAGGGTAGCTCTTTTGTCCGGTTGCTGGTGTCCATTGACTCCCTTTGCTCTAGGTCCGCCTCGGAAGCATTCTCCGATGGCACGTTGGTGGAGGGTACCCGGGGCATGTAGCCCTCGAACTGCTTCAGTTCGTCCGCCGCTCGGAGGAGCTCCTCGGTCTGCGCAGGGTCCATCGGGAAGGCGTTGTTGACCTGGGTCAGCTAATTTTGAGTGCCGATGCAGCAGGTGGCCACAGGCCCAAAGTACAACACAAGATTTGCGATGCATCTGAGCAGGCTGCTTGTAGTTCTGCTTGCACCACTTGCAAGGGCGTCCTACTCCCTCCCTGCCTTGGGCCCACTCTCTGATCAACGACTCTGCTGATTTAACAAAAGGATGATTCAGGCATGCATGTCTGGTAATGTACTTGTGGCTCTGGCTGCAGTGATGACAGAACGGACAGTGTCCTGCCAGTATTGTGGGGGCAATGAGGCTTGTTAACTCCGGCAGATTGCGCTGAAGTATGGCCTTCTGCACCGTGTTCCTAGATGCAAGCGGTGTGTCATCTGAAAAATTTGCTCGAGAGGCAAACCTGAGTGGCTCAATGCCCCCCGGTGCGGACACCCTTTCAGCAGGGGCAGAGCTTGTTTGGTCCGCGACTGGAGCCGGCGCCTTCTTATCCCCATACAGAACTGGACAGGCACGTTGATGGTGATGGCCCATAAAGGCACGCCATGTTGAGAAAGTCTTGAGGCAATGCCGACACTGAGGCTTGCCTTGCAGAGCATGCATCATGTGCTTGTCCGTGCGGTGGGACTTTGTCGCATAACTGTCTTTGGTATAAGCAGTGCTGGCTTCAGGATGGGATTTGCCTATATGGGTCCTGACTGCATGAAGACTGGGGTAGTACAGACCGCAAATAGGACAAGCTGTGGCACGACGCAGCATGCCGGTGACTTCGGTGAGTCCTGCCATCGCTGATTGCGAAGCAGCTGCAGGTGCAGAGAAGCCGTCGGTTAGGTGCTTCCAGTACTGATGCACACGACTGGGCTGCAGTTCACCTACAGCTGTGCTCGCCAGGTGTAGGCGGCTTTCGCCCACTTGACCAATGTGCTCAACGATGTCCGATTCTTGCAGACGAGTCAGCAATGCTTCGTTGGATTCGTGGGTAATGTGTGCTGGACTACGGGAGAGGCTCCTGAGCTGCTTCACTGTGTGTCTACGGAGTTTGTTGGCGCTGTGCGCGTCTATATGCATAGACGTGAGGCCATACAAAAGCACCGGTCGGACGCACGTTCTCCAAACGCGTAAACGGACTTGCAAGGAGAGAGCGTTAGATGTCAGTACGCGGTATAAACGGTGAAAAGTTGCCCAAGACTGCTGAATGCGATAGGCAATCGTGTTGCGCTCAAACTGCCTGTATCCTATTTTAACCCCTAAGTAAAGGTGGTCCTGTTTAATAGGAAGTAGCTGCCCTCCATGCGCCGTGTTAACACAGAAGAAGCGCCCCTTGGCAAGCTGGCGGATCCAGGCACTGCAAGCTCTTTTGTAGTGCGGGCCCTTGAGGGACAAAAGAACTACCGACTTGTCTATGGAAACTGTCATGCCGAAGTTACGTAGATCAGTTAAAATGCGACCGATCTGCACACCAGCGTTTCTAAAGTCAAGCGCAGAGTTGATGTCCCATGCCATGTGCATGTCATCCGAATAAAAGGTTAGTTGATCTTTGTGCATGTAAGTCTGCAGCTTGTCCAAGACCAACAGTGTGAAGGACGCCCAAAGTAGCGGCGCCAAGCCGCATCCTTGCCGGATGCCTGTTCCGGTGCGCAGTTCAGCTGTGTATTCATCTTTAGTAAACACCAGAAGAACATTATGATGTACAAACAGTATAAACTGAACTAAGTTTTCAGGCACGTGGATTCGACGTAGCGCAGATGCTAGCAGGTGCCTTGGCAAGCAGTCAAACGCTTTGCTAAGGTCCAACGATACCTGAACCGCCCCATGCAGAAGGTGCTGTGAGGGAGCATGGGATCGACTGTGATGATTCGGCCTGATGGCTGTTAGCCGTTGTCTGGCACTGTGACAGTGGCTGGCAACGCGGTCTATGGCATCCTGTGTTTGCCTTGCACAAACGTAGGCAAACTGCGGTTGGCTCTTCAGTGCTTCCTCTAGGTGCGGACGAACGCGCTGTGCCGCTATGCGAGCTAAAATTTTAGACACCGCGGGCAATAGGCTTATCGGGCGCAAGCTAGCAGGGTCCTGGGGGGACTTGTTGGGCTTGGGGAGCAGTGCTATGAAGGCGCGATGCCATGCAGTAGGCATCCACAGTTTGCCCGGGGCAAAAAGCTCAGCGAAGTCGCGGCACAGTACTTCCGTGATCGAATTGTGGCATGTCTTCCACAAAACGGAAGGAGCCTGGCCTCTGGGCAGTGCCTTGCTCCGCGGAAGCGATTGCAGTGCACTGGAGATCTCCTCCCTGCTTATGGAAAGGGGCTGGGTGATGTGGAAATCCTGGTTAAGGAAATTCTGAGGGGTGTTGAAAACCTGACTGAAGTATGTGGTGATAGCGGTGAGGGACTGTTGGCGGACTTAGGAGGCCTTCCTGTTTGGTGCGGAGATGAATGGAACGTCGAGGTTGTTTGGGAGCTAGCTTCTGCATGACTTTGTAGAGGTGAGAAAGACCCTTGCCATCTACTTCTTGAGCTTGTTTAAGCACCTCATCAACCTGTTCTCTTTTACCCGCCCTAATTCTCCTATTGAGCTCCCTAGAGTAACGAAGGTATTTGGCAAGAGAGCTCCAGGCTGCAAGCGTGGCGCTGAGGTTTCTCTCAGCCGAGCTCGCCGCAGAATCCGTGATCAGATGAGTCGACCAGCTACTGGATTCAAGCCGAGTTTGAAGGGCAAGCTTGCTTGACCTGCACTGCCTCTTTAGTTGCCAATACTCTTGGAGGTTATAGGCTCGCCTAGGGGTTGGTCCAGCACGAGGGGGCTGATTGCAAGCTACATATGCCTGGAGAAGACATGAGTCTATGTGCTCAGCCTTGATCTCGGGATCCTGCAGAAGTGTCTGGGCAACCTGCTCAAAGCGAAGGCGGTCTTCCTCGCTCTGCACTAAGCGTATGGCAGCGGCGGCTGTAGGGGATTTGTTGCCGGGCGGGCTCTTAGGGATGGAGGGTGTAGGTACCTCTAGTGTTATGGGGAAGTGACGCATGCCGCTCAGTGCGACAACAGGAGCTGCACGCAAGATGCGGGTGCGGAGTGCCGGCACATTGCACGGGAGCCTAAGAAACACGTAGTCAATCTGTACCGGGGCATCCTGGTGGTTGACATATGTTGCGGAGGGCGCTCCCGCTCGGCTCCAGGGTGTTGGCGGCTACGAGGTTGGAGTGGGTGACGATAGCTTGAAACTGTGATTGATCCCTATGGGCAGATGTTCTGTGGGGTGTGAGGCCTAGTCCTATGTTAGGGTGATGGGCCTTGAGTTCAGCATTAAAGTCGCCTGCAGCTACGAGTCTATTTCTGCGGGGAACAGAGTGGACCCAGCTTCGGAAAGTGTCCCATACCCTGGCTCTGTCCTGTAGCAGGAGTGCGACTGGCTCCTCTCCACGGTTGATGTACTCTTGCTTACTTGGATTCCACGAGTGCTGGTAAACATTTAGGACATCAGTGGGAGGTTCGGTGCAGATCCTGACGTGCAGGACTCTCCCTGGAATGAGCTCACAGTACTGCAAGGCAACATGTCGCAGTTTAGGGGACAGGTATATCATGGTCATGACACCCGATGTGGAGGAGCCATCGCTACTAGAAAAGCAACTCCAGCCTCCTGAACGGAACTCACTGGTTTGCCGCCAGTGTGTCTCTTGCAGGCACAGGATGGTGGGGGTAGCGGGAGTGCCTAGCCAATCCTTGAGAGACTCAAATGCTAGCGACGAGAGGCCGCCACAGTTCCATGAGACCATCCTGAAGGAGCTACGTTGAGGCTGTGGGGAGGCAGTGGTTGTCGGGTGTTTGTCTGGCTGCCTAGGTTTCTGCAAACGAGGCTGCTGAGCCATGTTGAGTTCCGCCGTGGTGGCCTGCAGTGGGCGACCTCGGTACCTAGCAAAACCAGTGGTCTGCAACCGCCTGAGAGCCCTCAAATAGGAGCGTTTCACGATGCGCTGGCGTGCCGGGTTGGGAGTGTCTGGGATCGGCGCACCTGATGTATGCATCGGAGGCTGAAGAAACACTCCAAGCATGAACAAAATCATCCTATGTTGTGCGAAACTAAGAAGTATGTTGCACGAAGACTCCAGCTTAAAATGACGTGGATGGGGGCGTTTTCCTTGGGAAGAGGCCCAGTTCAGACTACGGTCGAAAAGGTTTGCAGGTTTGCAGAAAAGCGGGCATGAGCATAATGCTTCAGGGGACTTACGACCCGTCAGGTCCCCAACCCTCGCATCTCCAGCGCGCTGTACACCAAGCTAAGTCTGCGCTGGCTCCGGACTTGGGACCGGAGCGGCCCAAAATTGTTGTGGCACGGCGGTGTGCGGCTCCTGCTGTCATGGCTCGCATGGAGCTCAGTACTGCTTGTAGACGAGTTCTCAGAAGCCTGCTAGTCAGTACTGCTCGAAGCCGGCTCGTAGCGCCATTCCTCCGGGCGCGTCGCGAAGATCTCCTCGAGCGTCTCGTTGGAGGATAGCGGAAGCGCCACCTGCGATGGTTGCGGTCGCGAACCATGCAGTTGAGATGGGTCCGCGACTGTCGCCGGCTCCGGCACCGAAGCTCCAGGTGCATCATCATCGGTCTCCAACGTGGCAGGCGATGGAACTCCTCGAAGCAAACGCTGGCTGAGGCTGTAGTCCGAGTACCACCTTTGCAGAGGGGCAATGCTGTCCTGAGGTATGAGCGGCATGAAGAACTGTAAAGTCTGATGATACCAGAGTGTTTTTGCCAGGTCGTAGAAGACGCGGGCCATGTTGCGCGCTCTGCAAGCATGTTGGAATTCTGCCAGAAGGGTCTTGTAGGTGAGCCGACACAAACATTGAAGGAGGTAGATTCTGGGGGGAGCATATTGGTCCCCTGTCGAAAGTATCCATCTGACGTCGTTCCTGTGTGGGTCCATCTGCAGTCTGTCCTTGAGGAAGGCGAATTGCGACCGGAGCTTGGCCGCCTTATCTTCGTCCATCGTAGCAGAAACATGTTCCAAGACGTCCTCTGCGTAGGAATTCCGTTGGGACTGCTTGACCGTCCTGAGTTTGTTAGAGACCTTGCACCGGTCGGAGTATGTGTCGACCAATGCTTCTGTGTAGTGATCCCAGCAAAGCTCGAGCAGGGCCCTTCTGCGAAAGTCCAAGTGCACAGCCGTGTTTCGTTGGAGACCTGCGGTCTCATCCTCTGAAAGGCTGTCGCGACGGGCCATTTCTGAGAGGCATGAGACGCTAGAGCTGACCAATGAGCGACGGTAGGGATGGCTTGCTGGAGAATCTTCAGAAGGAGTAGCCACTGAGCGAGACATGGCATGACCGCTACCGCCTGACAATCCTGAGGAGGGAGTTCTGGGCCGAGATGCTTTCACAAAGATGATGATGATGATGTTGATGATGATGAAGATAAAGATTTTGAGTGTTACTGTTGTTATGATGATGATGAGTATGATGATATTGTGTATCACTGTGATGACGATGATGGTGATGATGATGATGGTGAT